TCTATCTTTGCACATGCTGCTACTTCTACCTTGGCGACCACAGTACTCTTTTTCTAAATCTGAAAAACTCCTTTTCTAAAAGAACCCATCAACTGCCACTTCCTCTGAGAAGCCTTCCTTGATACTCCTAAATGCAGTTTTAGCTTCCTTCCCTGTACTTCTACAACAGTAAGGTTATATCTCTACTCATGGCTTCATCCCCTATACTGCAGTTGTTTCTTGCCTCTTCCAACCTGGAATCGTTTTGAGAGCAGGAACTTTAGTCTTATTTGTCATTCTATCCCAGGACCTAGCCAGGGCCTGACACACAGTAGGCACTGGATAAATGCTTGTGAACAGACGACAATGTCTGTTATGAGTTCAATGCAGGGTGAAGCAGTAGAGAGTAGGATAATCCACGGTAGGTCATTCATGCAGCTGCCCTGGGTGCCCCTGTGCTGGTGCTGGGGATCTCTCTCTAAAGAATGGGAGAGACAAGCCCTGGCTCACATACCATTTCTTACAAGAGTCACTTTTATTATTTTTTTTATGGTTGCATGCGGTCTCTCTAGTTATAGCAGTGCATACATAAATACATATACACCTATGTAAATGTGTGTCGGGTGTATGCATTCACACGCATACATATACCCCAAGGGCCATGTGTCATCTTTAGCAATATTTAAGTATTGGAATTGTTTTGTTTGCCTCCTATATCATGGAATAAATGGTAAAGAGGGCTAAGTTATTGCTGTAAGTATATTTCTCATTACATTAACATTAGACATTATATAGAATGTATTTTGTTTTATTCACTATTTGTAAGATACAAAGGTGTATAAACTGACTTCTGCATCAGCTTGAAAACCTGAGATAATGCTAAAATGTTTTAGTTATTTTAAATGTTTAAAGAGGGAAGTGTATAATATTGCTAAACATGAAAAATGTTATCAAGTAGAATAAAAGATAGTTGAAGTTAACATTTGGGGGAAATTTAACTGAAAACAAAAATACAAGTATTTTGAAACCTTTTCTTTACTGTAAGTCTCTTGACTTTGAAGTCAAATTTATCTAAAGGAAAAACGGGAATTCTGGAGACCTGTGCGAAAGCTATTATTTTCCTACTCTTGAGTGTACTAAAATTAAAATACATTGAATGACGTTTTCCTCAATGTACAAGTATTGAAGTAAATGTTTCTTTTGTATTATGTTGCAGATACATAGTTACTCTAGAAGTGGCTTTTTCCTTATGCACTGTGAATAGCAACTCTGCATCCTATGTTTAAAATATTTGAGAATCCTCTATAGGACTCTTAGTAAATGTTTTAAATACTGTTGTTTTCAATAAATATTTTATATTAAAAAAAAAGAGTCAGAGAAGCATAGACTGGTTAATTTCAGCAGGGATAAGTGTAGTCATGAAGGAAACTCAGGGTGTCAAGCGAACTCATAGCAGTGGTACCTCATCTGAGTGGGACTGGAGGTAAAGATCAAGGCGGTGACATCTAAACTCAGACCTGAAGGTGGAGGATGAGGAAGGAAAGCCAGAGCATGGCATATTTGGGGAACTGAAAGTGTCAGGGTGGTACACACAGATGACATGGGTGTGAAAATGTGGCTAGATTTGGAACAGGTGGGCAAGAGCAGATGGGGGAGGCCCTCTGAGAGTGATAATGTGGGGGAAGTGGGAGACCAGGTGGTCTTTGCTGAGAGAGGTGAGAAAAACACAACAGGAAAAGAAACACAAAACACAGAAGAAAGAGATTGGTTCCCCTGCTTCGGTCCAGTCTGAAGACATGTTCAGGGCATACATCACCAGCAGGGGCTTCTTGGAAATGCAGCTATCAAGGATGGGAGTATTTGGAAGGTGAAAGCAAGAAGGGAGAGCTGTAGGTGGAGGAGGACCCGAAGGAAAGCACAAGGGCAGCGCTATGCAAACAGCATGGAGGTCAGGAGGCCAGGCTGGCAGAGCTACGCAGACAGAAACAACTCTCTTCATCCGCTTGCCTGCACTTTCCAATGCACAAAGCCCTGCAAGTCCAAGCTCACAGCCCAAGCAGCCCTGGCAGGGCAGGGATCACCTTCCCATGTTCCAGAGGAGGAAACCAGCACAGGAAGTTATGGGAATTATAGGAGGGAGGTCATAGGGCCATGCGGTTTGGTGGTTTGTTCTTTGCGAGGGGTTGACCTTTCCTCTGCTTTAAAAGCCCTGGGCCAGAAGCTTTTCCAGGGTGAACAATGCAGGCTACTCGTTGGCAGGCGTTGTGGTTTCTCTCTCACCTGATTTTTTTTTTTTTTTTTTTTTTTCTGTTCTAGTGAGCATTTAAAAACAACACCAACACAGAAATCACTCTTGCCCTCCTTAAGCCCTTTACCTGCGTGTCTCCTCTCTCTGATTCCCTGAGAGGAATTAGGCTTTCTGGGCAGCCACTGGGGGAGGGAGGGAGCACTGAGAGCTCCTGGTGTGTTAGGATCATGCTAGGCATGTTGATACATGAGGTTCCATTTAGTCATTACCGCCAATGACTGAGAGTATTTATAGACAAAGTCACTGAAGCTCAGAGGGATGAAGCCCTTTGCCTAAGTTCACATTGTTAGGTGGTGGATCCAATCCCACATCTGCTTGATTTTACAAGAACAGAATAAACAATGCAAGTTAGTAGAAAAACCTCAGAAACCAGATCTTCTACCTGAGGATCAGTGTTGGGTGGAGAATATTTCCGGAACATGATAGGCTCTTTCATGGGTTCATCCCTATTCACACGCCGATCTCCTTGCATTTCCCAATCTCCTCTACCCACAAGCTCCTGTTCACCTTTTACCAACCTCAATTTCTTTGTGCTAATCCTTAACTGTATAATTTAGTACCACCTCTTATAATGGACGTTTTCCCAGGATTGCTTCCATGGAGTACAAACTCCCAGAAGCAGGGTTTGTATGAATCTCTGAATTCTCTGCCTGTGACAGTACTTGGCATACAGAAGGTGCCTCAGTAGACTCTTGTTGAATAAATGACTGGACAAGTGAAAGAGTGTATCTTGTCCTCGGATTCTTTTTACCACAGTGGATCTAGTAGTCTCATCCTCCATATTAGCCTGATGAAATACATAGAGGTGAAGCGACATGAGCAAAGTCTCAAAAGGAGCCGGAAAAAAGCCTGCCAAAATGAAACAGAATAAGCAACAACAGCAACTAATGCCCGCTGTCCCCCAACACTTTGTAATGCTCAAATACCCAGATCTTACATCCCGGACTCATGTTGTTCTCTATCAGTCCTGGAACTGTAGCAGAGATTGGTTAGCTGCCTGCCAATATTCATTCTCTTCTTCTTGCTTACTAATGTAAATGAATTGGGGCTTGCAGTGTGCTCAGCTTAAGAAGCACATTTCCTAGCCTCCTTAGCAGCAAGGTGTGGTACTGTGATTGAGTTCTGGCCAATGAGATATAAGAAGTTTTGGGGTGGAATGTTTGCAAAACCACCTTGAGGAGGAGGGTGTGAGGGAGATGGCAGATACAGCAACTACTCCCTCCTTCTTTCCTTTCTTTTTCTTTTCTTTTTAAAATGATCAAAATACATGCATTTAATATACATCACAAGGGCTCAGCCAAGGCTTAATGTAAAAGACGAAAACAAAGCAAAATTAATACCATAGCTCGAGATATAGAGTTCTATACAGAAATCAGAAAAAGAACAAACCATCTAAGGAAAAATTAAAAAGATGACACAAGGACAGTCTGGGCAGCCTGGCTCAGGACTCCTGACTCTTGGTCTGCTTTGAGTCGATTTCTTGCAGGTACTTCTTCAAAGCTGTGGGGTTTTACCAGAGCTCGGCAGCATGGATAGTTCAAGGGACTATGAGTGTTAGGTTCTTCTGGCAGGTTCTGGATGGAGAGCAGAATGGTCCTGGTGTCATATAGGGCAGACCACTTGTCCTTCAGGATGTCCAGGCATATGTTATTCTCTGGGTGTCACATTGGGGTGGTAGCAGGGTGTGAGGAACTTCACTGTGGGTGAATCGTAAGGGTGGCCACTGGGGAACTCTAGTGAGAGCTTATACCTCAGGTCTTCATATACTGTTCCAGCTGCTCCATGGAGGGTCCTTATCCATTTGAAAAGGTTGTCTGATTCAGGGAAGGCAGAAATGCCTTTATCACCAGACATCATGAGGGTCCAGCTCCTGCTGTAGCCTTTTGCCCACGGGACCCTGGGTGACTGCCATATTTTAAAAAGAAGAGGAAAGAGAAAAGGAAGGAGGGAAGAAAGGAAGGAAGGGAGTGAGAGAGGGAGGGAGGGAGGAAGGAGAGAGAGAGAAGAAAGAAAGAGAAAAAGAGAGAGAAAGAAGAAAGAAAGAAAGAAGGATGGGCGTGGTGGCTCACGCCTATAATCCCAGCACTTTGGGAGGCTGAGGTGGGTGGATCACGAGGTCAAGAGATCGAGACCATCCTGGTCAACAAGGTGAAACCCCATCTCTACTAAAAATACAAAAATTAGCTGGGCATGTTGGTGCACGCCTGTAGTCCCAGCTACTCAGGAGGCTGAAGCAGGAGAATTGCTTGAACCCAGGAGGCAGAGGTTGCGGTGAGCTGAGATCGTGCCTTTGTACTCCAGTCTGGGTAACAACAGCGAAACTTGGTCTCAAAAAAAAAAAAAAAGAGATGGAAAGATTGTCTCCTTTTAGAACACGGCACGATGATAAAGTCACAGAAGTAATCTTGGATCATGAGGTCACCTTTGAAGGTGGACCTGTGCTGAGGATGGAGGAACTGAAAGACAGAACTTGGTTTCTTAAAGACCATGGAGGCCTGAACTGCTCACTTCTAGACACTTTTGTTTTTGTTTTTAAAGAGACCAACTCTCATTCTGTGACTCAGGCTAGAGGGCAGTGGCATGAGCGATTTTCCCTCCTTAACCTCCTAAGTAGCTGAGTCTATAGGGGCATACCACCACACCCAGCGAATTGTGTAATTAGAGATGGGGTCTGCTATGTTGCCCAGGCTGGTTTGGAATTTCTGGCCTCAAGCGATCCTCCACCTTGGCCTCCCAAAGTGTTATTGGCCTGAGACTAGTTTTAGAAATACAATCCAGAAAGCTGCCAGCAGCAGAGCCTGGCTGAGTGGGTGTCCTGCAGGTCAGAGAATGAGTCACAGCTGTGGAGCTCCTGGATCATTCATCAGCACCACCTAAGACCCTGCTCCATCCAATAGAAACAGGGTTGGACTTGGACACTGTGGGTGTGGGAGGAAGGGATTCGTGTTTCAGTTCCTTTCATGACGGTCTATGACTTTTTCGGCTGATCTTAGCTTGTTGCACTTCGAGGCTTGAGTGGATTTTAGAGAACCCAGATGGAGTCTGTGTTAGACACTGAGAATTGTCTACTCAACAGCTATCTCCACATTCTTGCTTATCAGAAGACTGATTCTGCTGCTCTTTGTGGTTAATTCCTTTTCTCTTTCTCTGAGTTGTTTAGACAGAGGCTTGTGGTCTTTCTTGCCTCAGGCCCTCCCCCACCACCATGAAATACCAGGGGCACATCTGGGAAAGTTTTCCTTTTTCTTTTCTTAAGGAGAAGTCCAAGACCAACACTTCCCTCCTCTTGCCTTTGGGCATTACTGTGGGGGTGTGAAGTCTGGAGCCCTAGGAGCCATCTTGACACCCTCAAAGAATCACACAGAGAGTGGTATGTGACCCTAACACCTTTGTAGGTGTAGACACTATAATACCCAACCTGGGCCCCGTCTATCTGGACTACTTGCTATGTGAAATAATAGATATTATCATTGATTATTATTTATTTATTTTTGCAGCCATAAGCAGCCTAACACACCTCGAATCTAAACTCCTTATTTGACATATGGGAAGAAGCAGGTTCAGAGAGAAAAAGCAAATTGCCCAAGGTCACACTGTGGGTATGACAGTGTCAGCCTAAAATCCTTTTTTCCTATCTTCCTCTCATGGTGAAAGAAATTTGTTTCCTGCTTAATACATGGGTCATCTCAAGAATAAAGTGGGATTCCACATGGATTTGGGATAAATGGAGACCGTGTTAATTGTTCTTTCCTTTTGCCTCACTACATTTAGGCTGCTATAACAAAATACCTTAGACTTGGCAATTTATAAACAACGGAAGTTTATTGCTTACAGTCTGGAAGCTGGGAAATCTAACACCAGAGCACACATAGATTTGGTGTCTGGTGAAGGCCTGTTTTTCTTAGATGGCGGCTTCTTCGTGAATCCCCACATGATAGAAGGGCAAACAAGCTCTCTCAGGCCTCTTTTTTATGGCCACTAATCCCACTGATGGGGGCTCCTCCTTCATGACCTAATTACCTCTCAGATGTCCCATTTGCCAACACCACTGTAATGGGGAGAAAGTTTCAACATTGAAATCTGGGGGCGCAGAAGCACTCAGACCACAACACCTTTCTTTCTAGATGAGAGTCAGAGACATGAATTTCAGTCCAAATCTGCTATGGTGAGCATAATTCTTCAGGATGACACAAACAATAATCACTCCTATCCATTCTCACTTGCTATAAAGAGATATCTGAGACTGGGTAACTTCTTTTTTTAATTTTTTTATAAAGACGAGCTTTCATCATGTTGGTCAGGCTGGTCTTGCACTCCCGACCTCAGGTGATTCACCCACCTTGGCCTCCAAAGTGCTTGGATTACAGGCATGAGCCACCACGCCAGGCCAAGACTGGGTAACTTCTAAAGAAAAGAAGTGTCTTTGGGAGACCGAGGTGGGTGAATCACAAGGTCAAGAGATCGAGACCATCCTGGTCAACATGGTGAAACCCCATCTCTACTAAAAAATACAAAAATTAGCTGGGCATGGTGGTGCATGCTTATAGTCCCAGCTACTTGGGAGGCTGAGGCAGGAGAATTGCTTGAACTCAGGAGGTGGAGATTGCAGTGAGCCTAGATTGTGCCATTGCACTCCAGCCTGGCGCCTGGTGACAGAGTAAGACTCTGTCTCAAAAAAAAGAAGAAGAGATTTATGCCAGGATCAGTGGCTCACACCTGTAATCTCAGCACTTTGGGAGGCCACAGCAGGTGGATCACCTGAGGTCAGGAGTTCGAGACCAGTCTGGCCAACATGGTAAAACCCCGTCTTTACTAAAAATGAAAAATTAGCCGGGAATGGTGGTAGGTGTCTATAATCCCACCTACTCAGGAGACTGTGGTGGGAGAATTGCTTGAACCTGGGAGGTGGAGGCTACACTTCAGCCTGGGCGAAGATGGGTTTTTTTTTCTTTTTAATTATTTTTTTCAGATGGGGTTTTGCGACAGAGCAAAACTCCATCTGAAAAAAATAACAAAAAAGTAAAGAAGTGTAATTGGCTCATGTTTCTGCAGGCTGCACAGGAAATGTAGTGGCTTCTGCTTCTGAGGAGGCCTCAGGAAGCTTCCAGTCATGGTGGAAGGCAAAGCGGGAGACGGCATCTTACATGGCTGGAGCGTGAGGAAGACGGTGAACTGGGGGAGTGCCACACACTTTAAAACAACAGCACGGGTGGGTGGGGGGAGGTGAGGGGAGATGGGTTGAATCATGAGAATCTGCTGCCGTGATCCAATGACCTTCCACGAGACCCCACCTCCAGCATTGGGGATTACATTTCGACATGAACCTTGGGAGGAAACACAGACCCAAACCACATCACCCCTCAAATTTACTCTATCTAGCATGGCAACATTGACAGAGGTTTCCAGATCTATCATTTCATGCAATTCTCACAACACTACAGAGTGTGCCAGGCAAGGATCATTATCCCCATTTTTCAGATGAGGACTCTGAGGATCGGAGAGGCTAAGTGAACCCCCGAGGAAAAGCTAGGCTTTAAAATTGAGGGGTGAGTAGATTAACTGCAGGTCTACACCAGCGAGTTATACTGTCAGTGCTCTTTACTGCTTACAAAGCCTTTTCTCTAAGGTCTAGGTTAAGACCCCCAATGATGCTGCAAGGTAGACCAAGTGAGTATGGCTATCCTCATCTAATGGATGAATAAGTAGTGCTCTGGAGACATGAATGATGTATCTGAGTTCACCGAGCCAACAAGTTGTCCTCTTTCCATGACTCCAAAGCATTTTCTACCACCGTCCCCAGTATGAATATCTGACCTTGTGGTGGGTGGGGCAGGTAGCTCATCCCTGTATAAGTCATGTGTCCCAGGGACAGAGAGTGGCCAAGTGACTTAGTCGAGATGACTTTGCTGACAGCGAAAATAAGAATCTGGATGTCCTAACTCCCTGTCTGTTGCTCCTCTTTTCCAGCTTCCATGGCCATAGGTGATATTGGCCTATGTTACCTCTCATCATATAATCCAAAAGGGAGTCATACTTTTACCTCTCCTGGAACTACACCCATCTTATCCACAGGTGTGCCCTATTTCCTGGAATACTGTCTGGCTCAATACATGTTAGCTGGATGAACGAATGAATCTCTGAATTCCAAACAAATACTCATTGATAGTTAGCCACCTAGCAGGCCTGGGGACAGGGTGACAGGGGCAGGCTCAGCAGTAACAATTTACCTTTGAGTCTCACTGTCCCCACTGGTCTATGGCCTCATGGGCTTACTGTGGCATCCTAGGCATGGACCTGAGCCACTCTGGCAGCCTCATCACTGGCCCCGGTGGAGCTTAGAGTAAGCACTGCTCTCCATGTAGCCTAAACATGTATTCATCTACTGTCTTTATTCATGCATTCATTCCACTAATTCATTCACTCATGCAACAAACAACCCTAGTACTGGACCACGGGGATAACAAGACAGAGGGTTCCTGCCTGTGAGTTCTCCATAGCTTAGTAGGGCCACAAATATAAGCAGATATGAAAACAGTGAGATCAATGGCCACTACAGGAGTAAGCACAGGGTGCCATGGAGGTAGGGAGGAGGGGTGCCTAATCCAATCTGGGGGACAAGGAATATTTCATACACACCTACAGGTGCATTTATTCAGAGCTTTCTACGTGCCAGGTACTGTGCCAAGCTCTTCACATTCATTTTTCCAATTTACTCCTCATAACAACCCTATGAAGAAGGTGCTTGCTGTCCTGTCTGTTTTATAGATGGGCAAACTGAGACTCAGAAATGGGCAGTGACTTTCCCAAGGTCATAGAGCTTACATGTGCTAGTGTTGAGATTGGACTCTTATGTCCTGGCTCCTAGCAACCATTCTGTATGCCCTCTGTGCAGACCACCTCCTTTGCTTGAGGTTCTACTTCAGTTACATCATGAAGGATAACTATGAGTCAGCCGGAGGCTGTTGTCAGCATGATTGTGGTAGGAACTGCAGAACGTGACGATATGGTTCAGAGGTTGGAAAAGGGCATTTTTAGACAAAAGGGGACAGCATGGACAAAGAAACCAGCACTGAAAACAGCATTGTGTCGAGGGAAAACAAATGGAAGGTGATTTCTTCTCACCCATCTTGGTGGAGAAATTCAGCAGGGGATCTGAAACCCTGACAATCCATTGCAATCAGAACCTTTGAGTGACTGGTTGAATCTTTAGACATCACACAGGAAAATCTTGGTGGAAAGAAAAATTATACCTGGTCCCCATTTTGTAGTTTTGGGCCAGGAAGACTGAAAAGCGATCTCAATTCTGGACTCAGGAAGAGGAGTGAGAGTGTGGGTCTGCCCAGTGGCTGAGTGGGTAGGAGAACTGGCTGGGTTAGCTGCTGCTGCTGGGGAGGGGGAGTTTCTATTTCTTTCTCTCTCCTTCCCATCTTTCTCCTAGCTTTCCACATATACCACTGAACACTCACCGTGTGTCTAGTTTGGCGCCATGGTAGATACGTGGATGAAGTAGGTCTGATCCCTGCCCTCAAAGTATCTACAGTCTAGGAGGGGAAATGATACGTTTTGGTAGATATGTTCATTGATATGTTAATATCGATAGACATGTTAATATCTAGCGATATGTTCCATTTCCCTTCCTAGACTGTAGATAATGATTAAAGGGTTGCATCATTTACAAAGTGCTTTTAAATATATACGTATTTAGGAACCCATGTGTGGCCAGGAGTGGGAAAACAGAGGTAAATATTGCAGAACCCCCGTGTCCAAGAAGCTGAGTTAGAGGCGAGGATGTTACAGGGGAAGCATGTGCAAAGCACCAAGGAGCACCAAGGAAGGAGGAGTCAGGGAGGCCACAGACGTGATTCGTCCTTTGAGCTAGGCCTTTATCCCTACAGGAATGATCCCATTAGTATTCATTTTGAGGCTCCTTTAAGAAATAAAATTTGGTTTGATTATTTCAGAATCCTTCACAACCCTGCACAATCCATATAATGAGTTCCATTTTTTTGTTGAAGGAATGGAGGCCCAGAGCAGTGAATTGACTCAAGGCCACACAGCTGGCACATGGCCAACCTGGGCCAACCCAGGTCTTTTGCCTCCTGTTCTTTCTGAGACAGCCCACTGCCTCTACGAGGGAGAAAATGACAAGTGCCATGTGCCCATGCACCATCTACTTTTAGCTCCTTCATTGGACCAAGGCCCGGAAAGTGTCCCGTTGTGTCACATGTGTTCAAGCCTGTGAGTGATCTGTGGGCTCTGGATTAATCCAATAGAAGGATTTAGTAACACAGGTTGCCTGGCCTCTCAGTGGGAGACCTGGTTAACCTCCCACACTCTCTGTTGTTTCAGCTCCTTCCTTAGTTATGCTGCTTGGAGTGAGGCTTGGAGCCCCATTTTGGGGGTCTTTGAAAAGTGAATGGCAGCAGTCACTCTGAAGCTTTCCCTGAAGATGCATTGAGGTTCAGGGCTAAGTGGGGCCCAGGGCAAAGCTGCCTTGTCCCAGGCAGTGAGGCATACAGAAGTGGGTGGGGTTCTCTGAAGCAGTTGCAAATAAAAGGGAAGGAAAGGGCATCCACACTGACTGAGTTAGCACCCCGTGCTAAGTGTTTTACATACGTTTGAGAGGAAACATTCGCCACCAAAGGACACGAAGATTTTGCAGTAAGCTTCAAAGGCCAGTCTTGATGATATAGTCACTTCCTCGCCATTTTTTCCTGCTAGAATAGCAATCTCCTTCAGATGACGTGGGTGAAAGCATCCTGCTCCCTGCCCACCTGGAGGCCTCTCACTCGCCTTTCACAGATGGGAGGAAAGCGGTACAGAGAGGTCAAGCAAGATCACAGAATTAGTCAGAAGAGACCTGACTCCAGGACAGCATGTGGGATAAAGGGAATGCTTCTAAGGCCACTGAGTCCTTAGGAAGAGGGGAGAGTTGGGGGTTGCATGCCTAATACAAGGGCATGTTTGCTGAATGCATACAATCCAGATGAGACGGGTGGGAGCAAAGAGACTGCTTGGTCCAGTGCTGAGCTGTGTGGTCAGCTCTCACAGAGATGTTCCTGCAGCTCCCACTTTTTCTAGGAACCAGTCAGATCTCAGCTTAGGAGGGCAAAGGCTATTCCTCTGAGAGAATGACCCCTTTCGCTCAAGAAGCTCCTTCTTTTAGAACAGTGGCTACTCCAGCCCCAGCCATTGAACACAAGAAATAAATGGTTCTCACGGCCAGAGAGACACTTCTACACAGTTTAATTTGGCATAATTATATGTTCCCTCAACAGGTTTTATTATGTGCATTGTTGTTTCAGCAAAAAATTGTTTGGGTATAAAAAGTTTTTTATTATAAAGAAAAAAAATTTTTTTCAAGTTCTTTATTATCCCCCTAAGGCTGTTTTTTTCCCACATTAATGACAGACGCATCCTGGAGTTGCTTCCCCCTTTTCCTAATACATGCTTTGAAGGGAGAGGGAAGCCTATATGATAGGGTATGACTCTAGGGGCTGTGAAGGCCAGAGGAAGATCAGGTCAATGGTGAAGGGAGAAGCGTGCCTCTTTGAAATGGGGATGATGTCAGCCTTCCTGAGTCAGGCTGTGTCTGGTCAAGGACACATATACTGTAAGCTGGCAGACATACTGCACCCCCAAAGCTCCTTGGGAGCACTGTCTTTGAGGTCTGCTCAGGACTCAAATCTTGGGTCTACCACATGCTAGCTGTGTGACATTTGACAAGGTGCTCAACCTCGCCCTTTCCTTCAGTCTAGTTTGCTTCCTAAACTGAGGTACAAGTATTCCTAGGAGAAGTGTGTCACTGCTGGAGAATATAGTCACTCAATCCCTACACATGGTGTTTGCTAATGAAGCACCAGTTTTATCAAAACATTGCTGGTGGTGGTGGTGGTGACGGTGTGTTTGTGTGTGTGTGTGTGTGTTTGTGTGTGTGTGTACCCTGGCAATAATGATATAATATTCATATTAAAACAAATACAGCTTTTCAGTGGAAGAGATAGTCAAATGCTCGTGAATTTTATGGCTGAACAGGGAGCTTTGAAGCCTTTTAATGTTTATCTTGGCCTCCCTTTGCCTATATGTTCTCTCTTGGTGCATACTCATTCTCTCTTTTTTCCTGTTTCAAGGTCCTGCAGAGATCAGTGGGACAGAAAGCTGTTTCTTCTATGAAATGGAAATGACATCCCCTGCCTAAGAGCAGTGGCATAACAATTCCACAAGCTAGCATCTTTGAAATCATTCAAGGTTTGGTGATAAGCTATTAGCTACAACAGCAAAGCTACAGGGCATGGGAGAAAAAGCTGGTCACTTGGACTTTGTTAACGTTAAAAACTTCTGCTTTGTGAAAGACACTATTGAGAGAGTCAAAAGGCAAGCCACAGAATGGGGGAAAATGTTTGCAAAACATGTCTGACAGAGGACTGATATACAAAAGACACATCAACCCAACAACAAGAAAACAAACAATCCAATTAAAAAGTGAGCTAAAGGTGCAATCAGACACCTCACTAAGTAAGAGATACGGAAGAGAAATAATCAAGTGAAAAGTTGATCAACATAATTTGTCGTTAGGGAATTGCAAGTTAAAACAACCACGAGATACCACTACACACCTATTAGAATGGCCAAAATCCAAAACACTGACAATGCTAAATGCCGATGAGGATGTGGAGCAATGGTATAGCCACTGGAGAAAAGAGTGTGGCAGTTTCTTACAAAACTAAATCTAATCTTACTCTATGATCCAGCAATATACTCCTAGGTATTGATCCAACTGATTTGAAAATGAATGTTCAAACAGAAACCTACACACTATTATTTATAGCAGCTTTATTTTCATAATTGCCAAAAACTGAAAGAAAAAACCCACAGTCTCCTTCAATAAGTGAATTGGTGGACGTACTGTGATACTTATACACCCTAGAATACTATTTATGATTTAAAAAATAAGAATGCTATCAAGCTGTGGGAGGCTATGAATGAATCTTCGATGTGTATTGCTAGATGAAGAAAGGGACTGACAAGTCTGTGTACTGTAGGATTCCAAGTATGTGCCATTCTAGAAAAGGCAGAAGATAAGTGGTTGTTAGGGATTCTGGGGAGCACTGAACAGATGAGCTTCAGGGGATTTTTAGAGTGGTGAGACCATTACGCATAATACTGCAATTGTGGATGACATATGACAGTAAGCATTTATGATAGAACTTCACAGCACACAGGGAACCTTTGTACTTAAATGAATTAAAAAAAAAAAAGCATTTAGGATGTAAAGGGAACCCAGGATCAGATGCATAAAGTAGTAAAACAATCTAATTGTATCACAAATGTATAAAACAACCACAGCAATGGGGTGGAGGAAATTGTTGTAGACCTAAGTAACTTTGGAAATGAATGGAGTCCATAAAATTAAAGGCAAAAGAGACTATATATAAATACTGCACTTTAGTTGAAAAGTTGTTTCCTGTGAGATATGGGTTAACAATTATGATACTGCTATACAGTATGCTGGGATTGAACAAATAAATAAAAGGATGGCTATTGGGGGAAGCCAGTTTTTTACTATTGGAGGGGACTGCATAGGTAAGATAGAGGAGGAAGCTAGAATGATCTACATGATAATGGATTTGAGTTGGAGATATCAGTGTAAACCATGTTTAGCTTAATATAGAGACAGATGTTTATATAAAGGAAATGTATAGACATGGATATATACACAGGTTAGTGTACACACATGCATGTTTTCTGCTCTGTCAGCTGAGAGAGCCTAGAAGCAGTGACATCTCAGTAGCTACAAGCATACCTAGAGTCCACATTTTGGTTTTCAGTATTATTGTATAGAACAAAGAACCAGCAATCCTTGGAGAAATGGCTGAATCTATGACTGGGGCAGGACATTTATAAGATGATACCAGGTGTTGAACAATGAGAGCACATGGACACAGGGAGGGGAGTACTACACACTGAGGTCTGTTGGGGGGGAATAGGGGAGGGACAGCGGGGGGTGGGGAGTTGGGGAGAGATAGCATGGGGAGAAATGCCAGATATAGATGAAGGGGAGGAAGGCAGCAAATCACACTGCCATGTGTGTACCTATGAAACGATCTTGCATGGTCTTTACATGTACCCCAAAACCTAAAATGCAATAAAAAAAAAATAAAAACAAAAACACTAAAAAAAAAAAAAAAAAAAAAAAAGATGATACTAGAGTATCGCCTAGCACCAGAAAGTAAGAAATTTCTCTAAAACAAAGCAAAACTAAACCAATGATATGGGTGTATCAAAATGAGGGAGGAACCAATTGAAAGAGCTCTCAATAGCCAAAGCTGGAACATTTGAACAACAAAATAAATAAGGGACCTGAGCATGGTGGCTCATGCTTGTAATCCCAGCACTTTAGGAGGCCAAGGCAGGAGGATTGCTTGAACCCAGGAGATCGAGACCAGCCTGGGCAATATAGGGAGACCTTGTCTCTACAAAAACTGAAAAATTAGCTGAGCATGGTGATGTATGCCTGTAGCTCCAGCTACTTGGCAGGGCTGAGATGGAGGATCACTTGAGTCCAGGAAGCAGAGATTGCAGTGATCTGAGATCGCACCACTGCACTCTAGCCTGGGCTGCAGAGTGAGACCTGGTCTCAAAATAATAATAATAATAATAATAATAATAATATAGGATTAAAATACAAAGTATGAAATAAATACCCATGAGTCCATACTGACGTAAATAATTAAATAAATAAATGGACAAGGGAGAATATGCAATTTTTTTGTGCAGCAGAATTTCAAATCATTTATATAGATATTCCACCCTGTGGGAGGTGGGGTATATAACTCCCTACTCCTTAAATGTGTGCTGTGCATAGTGACCTCCTTCCAAAGAGTACACTGTAGATGGAGGGAAAAAAAAAGTAACATTAGTGGAGAAACCTGGCAAACATGACCTAAGCAAGGTGATCAGTTCAACATAAGCAATGATAAGTCATGTCTAGCATGTACCAAAATGTCACCTCTGTGGTGTTCTTCCTCTCAGCCCCAGACCCCCAGTCTATCTAGTCAAAAGAAAAACATGAGACAAAGACTAATCGAGAGACACTCTTCATGATACTGTATTCTGGCCAATACTCTACAAAACTGTCAAGGTCATAGAAACAAGGAACTGTCACAGGCCAGAGGATCCCGAAGAGACTTGACAATAAATGTAATGTGATGTCTTGGAAGGGATCCAGGAACAGAAAAAGGACACTAGGGGCCAGGCCTGGTGGCGCACCCCTGTAATCTCAGCGCTTTGGGAGGCCAAGGAGGGTGGATCACCTGAGGTCAGGAGTTTGACACCAGCCTGATCAACATGGTGAAACCCCATCTCTACTAGAAATACACAAAATTAGCAAGGCATGGTGGTGGGCACCTGCAATCCCAACTACTTGGGAGGCTGAGCCAGGAGAATTGTGTGAACCTGGGAGGCAGAGGTTGCAGTGAGCCGAGATCACCACTTCATTCCAGTGTGTGTGACAGAATGAGACTCCATCCCTCCTCAAATAAAAAGAAGAAAGAAAAAGTTCACTAGGTAAAACCTAAGGAGGAACCACGGACTTTAGTTAATTATAGCATATTAATATCGGTTCGTTAATTGTAACAAATGTACCACATTTACATGCGATGTTAAGATTTGGGGAAACTGGATGTGAAGTGAATCTGGGAATTCTCTGTTACCTCTGTAATTTTTCCTGGGAGTCTAAAACTATTCAAAAATATGAAGTTTGTTTAAAAAAACAAGTTAATAAATTATTTGGTAAGTGGTTGATATTAAATGGTAATAAATGATAATGAGATTGAGAAGTTTTTATTCAATCAAATCCCACACACAAGTAGAGCACTCATGGTTCCTGTAGAAACTGAAATTCCAAACTATGGATACTGGCTAGTGCCACGGTTTCAGGGAAGGGGTGCTATTATTCTTCAAGAGACAAGGAAAGGGTTTTGTGGATTTTTCCCCCTCCTTCTGAAATGGAGGAGGAAGCAGAGTAAAACAATAATGAACGCCACTGAGTACTGAGCTACAAGCCCAATGCTTTGGTTCATTGCATCTTCCTCTAATCCTGAAGGGTCCGTTACTACAGATAGAGGGAAATAGAGGAAAAACTGAGACCTGGAGAAGTTAAATGACCCACCCAACGAGGTATAGCTAGCTGGGACAGAGGGTTTGAAGCAGGATTTGAATTCAGGAAGGAAGTTTGGCTCCAGAGCTGTGTCCATGAGGCTATTTGCCAGGCAATGTGATGGTGTCTGGTGCCCACTCGGTGCTCAGCAGCATTTCTAAACTCCTGGAATGTGTGGTGTAAGCCTGTTTTCTGTAGACACCGAGAAAAGGCTGGCATTGTTTTTTGGACTGGGATGGTATATGGAAGAAAGACGGTGGATGGAGGAGCCAGCCTGAGGATGAGACAAGATCATGGGAAGACACTGGACTACAAAGGCCAGTAAGAGTTTGCCAAGTGTATTGAAATCTCTGAGGGTCAGGACAAAGGAGTCGGGGTGACAGTGGGGGTGCAGTTTGTAGCCGACACTAGATGACACTGTTATTACTACTTGTCAGCCCTTCCTGCCCCACTCCCGTCAAATACCCTAGTGGCTCCTTCAATCTGGGCCGCTTCCTCAGGGGAAACAGGATGTCTTCTTCAGACTTGGGCCAGGTCTCAGGTCTGGGGTGGGAAGAGGCTGTCTAATTGGTTAACACGGAGCTAGGCACCAGAGAGGAAGCAAGGTTTCCGGGAGTTGAGGAAACTGCCATTTCCTCCTCCAGCAGGAAGTGGCCTTGGCTATTCTCAGCACCCCGTAGCCACGTGGAGCAATGGAAATCACAGCCTGCCAGTATCTCTGGTTTGCCTCCTGCAGTTTAACAATCTCCCAGTCAAAATAAACCTGCTTCTTAGGTCTCCAGGGCATGGTTAAGGTAATAATTGAGAAAGGGAAGCCAGAGGCTGGCTGTGGGATGAAGGCTCAGAGAAACTTTTACAATGCCAGGCTTCTATTGATTGCTGGGGCCTCCTGAATGCGAGGTAACTGCAGCATTGTGAAGACAAACACATCAGGAGATTCAGTGATGGCTTCTCAAACAGCCGGGCTCCACCTTGGGGGAATTTGGGGCGATCTGCAGAGAGATTGCTGATACTTTTAGCATCTATGTAGATGAGTTTCAAGAGGAAAGTTGCATGATTCAGAAGAAAGGGAACTGGAAAAGGAGTCGGACCCAAGTTCAAATATGGACTTCACCAGACAAGCTATTTTGATGAGGTCACAACATTGTAAACTTTGCTTTCCTCGTCTCTAAACAGCCATGGTAGAAAAAACCACCATGTTTACTGCACAGAATTACTCTGAGATCAACTTAGATTTCTTCCTTATCTTCTTATGTCTCCTGGTTCCAGAACCCTGGAGATTCATTTCCTCCCTTGCTGTTCATTCCGGCCACAAAAGTTTATTGAGCACCTACTTAAAGTCCGGAAGTGATCTTCCCTGAAAACAGGGAAAGGGATAGTTTACATTCACTGGAGAAAGCAGATAACAAACAAGTAAACACAAATACATGAGATAATTTTATATTGTGATAAAGGGTATGAAAGAAATAAGTGAGGTGGGGGAAGAGGCATTAGGATGAGGGAGGTGGAGGCCCCTGTGTGAAGGTCACATCTGAATGGTACTTGACTTATGGGACCAAGTTTGACATTGAAGGGAGCGGGCCTATGAGTAGGAGAGGGCGGGAAAATTGTTCTTTTATTTAATGTGTGCTTATGGAGGGAGGGTTTTTTGTTTTTCTGTTTTTCTTTTTTGAGATAGGGTCTCGCTTTGTCATCAGGCTGGAATGTAGCATTGTGAGCTGGGCTTACTGCTGCCTCAACCTCCCAGGCTCAAGCGGTTTTCTCACCCCAGCCCCGCCAGTAGCTGGGACTACAGGCACACATCACCTCGCCTAGCTATTTTTTTATTATTTTTATTTTAATGGGGTCTTGCTATGTTGCTGGTCCCAAACTCCTAGCCTCAAGGGATCTTCCCTTCCCAGCTTCCCAAAGTGTTGGGATTATAGGCGTGAGCTGCTGACCCAGGACTAAGGAGGGATTTTTGATATGATAGAAGTAGTGAAGAAGAGCAAGACAATCAAGGTCCTTGCTCTCAAGACAGAGAAACAAAAGCAAAGAAATGCAAAACCATTGATAAGCACTCTGCGGAGATTTAAGACAGTGGTTGGTCATGAGGTAGAGTAACTGGGTAATCAGTCAGAGGAAAGGGCAGTGCAAAGGCCCTAAGACAGGAAGGAGGATGTGGGTTAGATAAACAAAGGAATGCAATGTTCTTTGGACCCACACGTGGATGTTTCTCATGGTCCACTGATCACCCTGCTGGTCACACTCATTCATGGCTCTGAGGACCCTCCCATTTACTTGTGTGAATTCCAGCCTGTTTTGGAGGCTCTCCTTATACCATCTTGTTTGCATCTTGCTTGCACCATCCTGTGCCCTGGGCATCACTTGGCCATGGCCCCCTCCTGGTTACCTGGAGCTCAGACACACTGCTGGACACTGCCTCACGTTCTGACCTGCTGGCCTCTCCCTCATGGTGGTCTCCATGAGGACGCTGATGGGGAAGGTGGACAACAAGGTTGATGTCTAGCAAAATGCAGCCGACTGCAGCGAGGCGGCTCTGGTAGGTGATCAGGGAGCCCAGTGGGACTCCCCGCCTTTGGGAGGCTGATAAGATACTGGAGAGAGACCTGGGTTTACTCCTTCAAGGAAGAAAAAAACTGAACAGTGTCTGCTCTGTGCTAGATTGATGTCTAGCAGGGGCTGGCAATACCAGGGTCAGTGAAAATGTAGCCCTCACTCTTGCCACTCATTGATCTTAGAGTTAAGTGAGACATTAATACCAAGGTAGGGCATCTGGATGCAATTCCAGGAGCACCAACAGGC